AATAATATATATTTAATCATATTAAATTGATAGCTTATACTATTTAGCAACAGCCCAGGCGTATGCAACACTTAGTCTGCGCGGCTACGCCATCTAGCGCGCTTTTGTTGTAGTTAGGCAGCACTGAGCATAGGACTCGCCTTGCTAGCTGTCATGGAAGCTTTGTGACATTTTGTCCGTTAAGCAACACAAACATTTCCAACAAACAACTATACAGAACTTCATTCGATAAGTGCTCGCCAAAATTCGAACAGCGAAACACACACGCATACACCAAAAATCAAATTCGCAACTTGAGCGCGCCAAAAAATATCGTCATCGGTTTAATTCGAGGTACTGCTGCGTTTTCTTCCTGCGCATGTGCAATTCCACAGAGAGCATGCATAACTGTAGGTATGTGTCTGTGTGTGTGTGTGTGTGTGTGAGCGTGTGTATGTGGGCATATGCCGAGCACATGTGCCCCCTTATCGCTTAGTCTTGCCATTGGCGGTGGTGGTGGTGCGATATGACGAGCCAAAAATCGTGAGAGCACGACTCGCAGCCGAGCACACAGACACACACACACTCACGCACGCACGCACACGCACACAATAATGCTCAGTCGGCAAAAAAGAACCGTTCATTTCATTTTCCGTGCCGCCTTTGACATCTCATGCAGTAATTTCTTCAATTTTCATATAGATTTGCTTGCAGCCCATAATTAAAGCTGGCAAAATCAAAAAGAAAATTCTTCGCTCTCCTTTTTCAATGCACAACAGCAACGCGCGCGCCATACTACTTTTGAATATTAAACAGCGAGTTAAACCGCGTCAAATTTAATGCCCAGAGACATTCAGTGAATTTATAAAATTCAATTGACGAACTCTGCCGGAGAGGGCAGAGCAGAGCGTAGACCCAAGTAACCAATACATTGAAGACGCCAGCAGCGCAGTTCACAGCGACAGCGGCAGCAAATCGACCGAGCTTCCCAACGACAAGCATTCAGGCAGCCAACGGAGTCCGCAGCGACAGCACAACGACAGCGACAGCAGCGGCGATTTGTTTACTGTAAATTTGGGAATTTTAATTATAATTGTGTGTGCAATGGAGGAGCACTCGCGTCTATTGAGCATTTTGGGTGGCATTGCCATGAGCATTGTCGGCTTTCAGATTTGCCGCAAGGTCTTGCCCTGGATCTATGCGAATGTGCTGGGACCCAGGCTGTGCGGCTCCTCGGTCAATCTGGCCGAGATGGGCGAATGGGCAGGTAAGTGTGTGACTGCATTTGAACTTTGCGCCAGCCGCTGATAAGGATCGTCCCATTACTCATATTGATTATAATTCGTATATTGCAGTTGTTACCGGCTCGACGGATGGCATTGGCAAGGCCTACGCCCGGGAGGTATGTACGACGCACGCAGCACAGTTATACGGAAGGGCGAATCCGATTCTAGATTCCATGTACTCCCAGCTGTGCATCTGTTGCTGAGGCTATTATGAGTTAATCGCAGTGTGTCTAACGCCCTTATAGTCTTTATATATATTCCTGATCAGCATCGGAGTGGGAGTCAGAGTTGATATAGCTGCAAGTATATAGATAGAACTTATCTATGCCTGGACTAGGCAGAATCTTTCAAAGATTGAGTTCTTTTGTCTTTCAAGCGCAGCAATTGACTTTGTCAAGGGTATTTTAGCTTCGGCATGCCAAAGATTTATTTTCTAATTTATTATCTTCTTTATTTTTTGTTTTTGCATTGCAAAATCCATAATGACTTGACCAATTGGACAAAAAAGAAGAAGAGGCGGAGAAAAAGTGCAATTAACGATTGAATTTGTAGCCAGGTCCCAAACATTAGCGCGAATGACTTGAACATATCTATATCTAGCTATATCTATATATATATGTATATATCTATGGACTGTAGGCTATAGTTCCTCCAGCTTTCTATACGCTAATGCACGCTATTGCAATTTAGTCAAGTGCTAATTATCCATTAAGCAGCTAAGTGCAACACCCAACACAGTCCACATACAGTTTTCAGCTTTCCAGCTTTCAGTTTTGTCAGTTTTGCCAGTTTGGCAAATACTTTTATTAAGCTGTGTGTGTGTGTGTGTGTGTGTGTGTGTGTGTGTTTGTGCACAAGCCCTAGAACTTTGTTGATATTGCAATATTCAGCACATTTTCTGGTTCGGTTGCATGTGTCAACGTCCAGTTGGCTATACAAATCGGGGGGAACAGCTGTTGTTTTCAGTTCTCCGGAACTTTGAACACGAACAACATAAACAATCAGCCTTCAGCATGCCTTCAGCATGCCGAAGCCGGCATACTCTGTAAGGGCGATACTTTCCATTGGGCTATCTGATATAATAATCCTCTGTTGATAAGCATGGCTTATATCTTGACGTTAGCTTAAGACAAAGACTCCTGATCAAGAATATCTATATATATATATATATATATACTTTAGTGCTCGTGGGCACATTGACAAAATTATAAGTGTATAAAGACGTGTGATATATCTAGCCGCCTCGATCTAACGCCTGACTACGGCTTCAGTCGTGCTCCGTCTGGGTTTGCATTTTCCTTCATCATTAGCATTCGTTGTGCCCAACAAATGGTATTTGTATTTGCTTCGCGTATGCTTAAAACTAAAGAGCCCCGGACTAAACTCTAATGTACAGCCGTGTGTGTGTGTAGTCGCGGGGTCGCCAGAAGTTCAGTTTCATAGTTCAATTAGGTCTTGGACGCATACCCCTATCCCTACATATATGCATGTTTAAGGCCCGAGCAGAGCTGCGGAATGTTCGATAAATCAATCCTTATCTATATTACAAATTAACGCACATTTTTAACTATCAGAAAGTTAAACAAGTTTCTTTGATAAGCAAACTTTATTTGTCGTGCACATAATTCACAAAATGTCTCTTGGATTTTATGGCACAGTGGGCACAACTGGACTCTTCTAGGGATTTCTCAGCTTAGGCTAGGTCAGTCTTACGTCGACTCTGTGAACTGATTCGCCTCCCATTTGGCTAGAGAAGAAACAATTTATGGAGCTCTTAACTGAGTAAGGCATAAGTTGCAACCGGAGCCTAACTGTCATTCACATAAGGCCCAATATAAATATTTGATAATTCGGATCACGCTTCGCACTCATGCCTCCCTTTAAGGTTCGGCTCAAACCAGAGCTCTATCCATTTTAGGGTTCGGCTTATGCTTAATACAGAATCTTACCGGGTTTGAACTTGTGTATTCACGCTTTCCCCGAAAGGTTCGATTCGTTAACCAAGTTTGAGACTCATAAGAACTGTTTATCTGGGCTACGGGTTCAGGGTTAATCAAATGTCGGACTCAAACTTGCCAACTTTTGAAAGCTTTCAATCTATCTTCAAACTTATAGAGCCCCATATATAAGAAGAAGAATTTCCTTTATAAGGAAGCACCCTATAAAGTTCAGCTATAGATTTTGACAGGCTCTCAAACTTCTTATATAGAATTTCTAGAATTACAATTCCTATATAAAGTTGGGCATAATCCAATCCTCGCTTAGCGTCCCAGTCAAAAGTTCAGCCTTAAAGTATGCCCAAGAGTGGATGAGTATTTGCCGAATCTGTGGATCCTTTTAATCTAAACCTGAACTCCTCGTCTATTTAAAACTTTGCAGTTGGCACGCAAAGGCCTGAAACTGGTTTTGATTAGTCGCTCGTTGGAAAAGCTGAAGACCGTTGCCAAGGAAATTGGTAAGATTTTAAAATTTGCGTGTTTGAGCCAGGCTTTTAATGGGAAATATGTGCGTGTGTGTGGCATACTTCCAGGCGATGAGTTTGGCGTGGAGGTGCGCGTCATCGATGTGGACTTCACTGGCGGCATGGAAATCTATGAGAAGATACGCACAGAAACTGCCGGCCTGGATGTGGGTGTGCTGGTGAACAATGTGGGCATCAGCTACAGCCATCCGGAATACTTTCTGGACTGCTACAATGCGGATCCGAAGTTTCTGCGCAACATTGTCGCTGCCAATATACATTCCGTAACGCACATGACCGCCCTCTTTATGCCGGCCATGGTGCAAAAGCGCAAGGGCGTCATCATAAATCTATCATCAACGGCGGGCGTAATACCCAATCCCTTGCTGAGCGTCTACAGCGCCACAAAGGTGAGGCAAACGAGTCGAAGACGAAGCATCTTGATCAGCACGACGAACTTTATCCGAAAGCTCATTTATTAATTCCACTTCCTTGTGCTTTGCAGGCATTCGTGAACAAGTTCAGCGATGATCTGCAGACGGAATATAAAACACATGGCATTATTATACAGAGTGTGCAGCCGGGCTTTGTTGCCACGAACATGTCCAAGATACGTAAGCCGAGCGTGTTTGCGCCCTCGCCCGAAACGTATGTAAAATCTGCATTGGCCACACTCGGCATTGCCACACAAACCGCCGGATATCTACCACATGCATTGCTTCAATTGGTCATACATTTTACAGAGGCCGTGTTCGGTGATCAATTTGCAAGAAACGAAGTTCTTAAGAATATTTTAGGTACACGCAAGCGTGCCCTGCGCCGCCTAGCTAAGGAGCAATAGCTATCTTAATATCAAATCCAAAAGTGTGCAAACTTGTTGATGCCATTTAGAGTCTGTGAACGGTTTGATTGGGTTGGGAATGGTTTTGGGGAGTAGAAAGAAACGCAACGTCTCGAAACGCCCGTGAGGAGGGGGCAAGCGTATATGCTAAATGATAATGCCTGCCAGATGTGCCGCCATTTATATATATATATATATATATATATTTAGAAGAAAAAAAAAACTTGTACCAATACCAATAACTAACTAAGTAAATGTTTTCAAATTCAATCAAGTATTGTTAGTTTTGCAACAGAAATAAATTGGAGACTTTTTAGCTTAACGGCTTTGTTTTGTTTGAACGCAGCTAAATTTATCGGTCGAGTGGCGGCCAGTCGATTTATACCATTCAAGCATATCGAGCCGAAGCTGCAATACATAAACCATGTTATCGTTATCGATACGAAATCAACAAACCCAATGGGCACCAATACAGTCGGGAACTTTGATTTTGCATTTATTGTATTTGTGATTGTGATTGAAAGTGGAAGTGAACGCCGTGCTATGAATAATTACGCTTACGCCGCTTGACCACCAAACGAACGCGCCAAGTCAAATTCCAATTTGTTATTATCTACGCAGCAGTGGCAACAACAACAACAACTACTACAACAGAAACAACAAGAAGAAGAAGCAGCCGCAACGATTTTATGGATGCAGAGCTGCAGGCAGCAGTCGCTGCGCCGCTCTTATCACTTATCGTTAGCCGCGCCGCCCCTTCGGCGCTTGTCAATGTCAACTTGTTGCCATAAAAGAGTCGCAGATGCTGTATGATCCCTGTGCCCACAAGCCAAGATCAAATAAAAGTGCTTCGACGACGACAACGGCAACGACGTCACTTTTCGGACAATAAGCGCAAGGGCGTTGGGCGTACCTTTTACGTGGGCGTGGGGGCGTGGGCGTGGGGGTGGCGGAAGTGGTTATAGAGAACTATTTTTAATAGTGGCCCAGACGACATGACAAAAGCCACAACAACAGCTACAAATTAAGCAAGAAGCAACGCGCGTCGCGACTACGTCAAAAATGTACAAAACGCATCAAATATTCAAATACAAAAAAGCAGAAGCAACAACAGCAATAATAACAGTTATTCTAAGCCACTAGCCCAACACACACACACACACACACACACACACTGAAGGAGTGAAACAGCTGGCAGTTATGGAGCGACGCCGCCCATTGTTTCCCATCGAACCAGAGCCGCCAACAACGCCCACACAGCGCCTAACGCTGCTGGCAACGCGGTAAGTGAAGACGCTGCATTAACTTTAGATGCGTGTCGTGTGTGTATCCTTTACATGAATCCATATGTCTGTGTCTGTGTGTGTTTCTCCAAGTGGGGAATGCATAATGCAAGGGTGGGCTGGCCGCGGGCGCGGGTGTGTGTGTGTGTGTTTTTTTTTGTCATTATTATTTATAGAATCGGCGTGCTTCCTGCCCACACTTGTTCATCATATTTGCGTTTTTTTTGTTTTTTTTTTAATTTTTTGTTGTTTTCCAGCTCACTACGTGCACTGCAATTAAACTGGAAGATTATCATTTCGGGCATCGCGTCGACGCTTTTGGCCGTTATTTGGTATTATCCAACACTTTTTCTATTCTTCGCGTTCGTCATCTACTCCCTGGTGCTGGTCTTTGCAGGTAAGTCGAGAATACTCTACAGTTATCAGTTACAGCTGGCAAATCCATATATGTAATCTGGTCATGACTCACATCTTATCTGGCTGCGGTCATATTCCACATACATATACATATATAATATATTAATATGTCTTTCATATTCCACAAAAATCGTTAATTAAAAATTTATCTTTAATCGGTTTCCAAACTCTGAACCCATTGAAAATGCGTAAAAGGGTATAATGAAAGCACAGAATGAGGTATACCCGTTCCCATGAGGTGTCTACATATATGTTTGAGCTTAAGTATCAATCCTAGGTCTTGTACCGTTAACAAGAAATCGATAAGAATCGATATCGTTTTACTGCTTATCGATCATGTTTTAAAGGCGCAACATAGCCTCTGCCCTTTCCTAGCCAGATTGTAAGACTTTCATAGAGATTGAAGAATAGCCATTGAACTTAATCACAACGCTAGCTGCGTGCAGGGTATCTTTTAGTCGGAAGGTACATTTGGATACTCGCCTAGCATATACAAATCCACTTTTTGGATAGTCTCTCCCGGTTCACATCAAGATTGCAAGACTTAGATTAATCACGCCTGAAGCCGGCGTGCAGGGTAACTTCTAGTCGGGCAGCCGATTAGTTTTCTTTTACTGTTTTGCCTTTTTGATTATTAACCCTTGAGCTATTCCAACAGCTGTCGCTGGCACCGTCTATATCCATTATATATTTACGACCAATGAGCCCACAAAGCCAAATCGACATCCCTCCAAGCTGCTCTACAATGCCACCAAGTGAGTATTCCGGCGAAGCACCCTTAATCCGTGCCATGCTCTCATATATTATATTATATTGCAGGTGCAACATCTTCGATTTGCCAAATCCCATTAAGAATCCTTCGAATTTACCCCTAATCTTTGGCAAGACAGTTGATCTGCAGCTACAGCAGATCATCGAGTATGTGCTGCGTGACTTTATGGTGCCCTGGCTGGGGTAAGTATCACTATATTTAAGCCACATCCGTATCCAATCTGATTTGATTTGATGTCCACTTTGCAGATATGTTGTGACGAAGCCAAAGCTTATCAACGATGTGATACGCGAGGATCTGTGGAATGCCATACAGAAGATACACGAACGTGCCGCCAAAATGGACCCGGCCAAGATCATAGCCGTGGACATGGTCAATCGCGTCACAGTGCATCTCGAAAAGATACGCATTGCCGAGTCGCGCGCGTAAGCTAAAAACAACGCGAAATTACAGACTAATTTCGATTTGAACTATTGCAGGGCCGAAACAAATAGCGCTCCGGTGTTCAGCACCAATTCGTACCTGGTCGATGAGGAAAAGGAAATGGAGTTTCTGCGCAAACTGTGCGAGATAATGATCATACTGCTCCTGCCGCGCGGCTACTCACTGCCGCCGCTCAAGGTGCTGCTCAGCGAGATACTCTCCTTCAAGAGTAGGTTCCAATGTCCGCCTGGACAAACTAGTTCAAGTTTAATCTTAACCGTCCTTGTTCCTCCCTTGTAGTCTTCTTTCCAATGATCAAAATGCTGACCGCACCGGACTATATCAATCAGAAGGTCGTGCAGAACATTGAGACGCGTCTGGCGGCGGCGGCGATCAGTAAGCGCAGTTACGAGTACGCCGCCAGCTTTGAGGATTTCCTGAAGATCATCAACAATTCGGGCAATTTGGAGGAGCTGTCGCTGATACGCAAAAGCATCGTGAATGATCTGATGCACGCCACCAGCATGCAGAATTTGCAACGTGCCAAAGGCCTCGATCCGGATACCGAGGATCATACGCTGACCAAATCGGAGCTAACCGCCGCGGTGCGGCTGAAGCGTTACGTGCAGCAACTGTCGCTGGCCAAGGGTCAGTGCGAGAAGAATCTGGCCAAGTTTGGCTGGAACGGCAACTACTCCAGCGACACAGTAAGCCAATAACATTCTAATCTATATATATATAAAAAAAAAAAAAAAAAACATGTTAACATTTGGACTCTTCCAGGATCTAACGCTGATGGAGATACTCAATACGGCCGTGGGACGACGCTATTTCACGCTGTTCCTGGAGCCGCTTAAGGCCAGCGCCCTGGTTGGCTTCTACCTGGCCGTCGACGAGATGAAGCATGCGCACAAATCGGCCACACATCAGCTGGGCACAGAGATCTTTTATACGTACATACGCGTGCCGAAGCCGGAGATACAAATCGATAAGCATGAGCGCAAGCTCATCGAGACCTTTGTGCTGGGCGATGCGGGTCCAGATATTTTCTATGATATACAGCGCAATATATTGCGCACCCTGGAGGACAAATACTATCCACCGTTTGTGCTAAGCGATCAGTATCGCCAGCTGAAGGAGGCGCTCGACTCGAACGAATTTAACGATCCCACCTTGCTGATGTGCCCCACTATGCTGGGCGATTCGAACGACGACGAGCAGGCGATTGTCGCCGATGGCCTCAATGGGGGCGGCGGTGCACCGGCGGCCATCGATGTGGCCGCTCACACATCGTATGCGCGCAGGAAGCTGGAGCAAATACAGGAGCGCATCGATAAGAAGAACCAAGCGCTGGACGCGCTCAAATACTCGGTGAAACCGGAGTCGAAGGTGCTGCAAATACTCGAAAAGGAAATGGATTGGCTCAAGAGCGAGAAGCGTCAAACGGAGGCACATTTAAGACGTACCGATGCCTGGACCGAGCATCTGGGCAAATGGAAGGCCACCATACAAAGTGTTGAGGTGCGTCTGCAATTGATAAAGCTTCCTGCTCATGTTATTTTCAATCGATTTGTTTTCCCTTCCAGGTGTCCGATGAGAAGGAATCGCTGCAGTTCATGATCCTGGTGCACGTGGACGAGGATATCAATGCCCCGCCAGCTACAAAGAATGGCGAGAGCAGCACGGGCCGTGCGCAGAGGCGTCGTCCCTCGGGCATATCCAGTGGCTGGGTGGTCATGCGTTCCCTGAACCAAGTGCATGTAAGTGTGGGCTCGCACAAGCGGACAGCTGACGCCCATTAAACCCGATCCATTCATTTGTTTCAGGAGCTGCAACGTAAACTACGGCATGTGAGCTCCAATTTGAAGTCGCTCGATTTGCCCACAAACTTCAAGTTCTTCTTCTTGAAGACCGATCGGCATGCACAGGAGAAGGCCAAGGGTCAAATACAAAAGTTTTTGAATGTATGTGGACACATATATATTTATAATTGATATTTGTGCTAATCGCTGTCCATTGCACAGTTTATACTGGAGGATGACCATTTGAATGGCAGCGAGGCCATCTATACATTTCTCAGCCCCAGCTCGGATCATTTAAAGCAGACTCTGCCGTCGCCCAAGAAATCCAAATTCTCGCTCTCCACGCTCTTCAAAAGCGACGCGGCCAAGGCGCACGACTCGAGCAAGGCCAGCGATCCCTTTTGGGGCCTGCAGCGCGATGATGACGACATGTCCAACTATTTGGATGGCGAGACGAGCACCGATCCCAAGCTGCTGGCCGATTTGGATAGCAAAGACTCCATTGCGGAGCCGCTGTATGCCCTAATGGGCGAAATCTTCGACATGGGCGGCGTCTTCAAGTGGCTGCGCAAGAGCATCATCTCGTTTGTGCAGATCACCTATGGCCGGACCATCAATAGACAGATCCGTGAATCTGTCACCTATCTGTTCGAGGAGTCCATGCTGCACAATTACTTCTCGGCCATATTGAAATCGTTTTGGCCCGGCGGCGTGCTAGCCTCGGCCTATCCCGTACGCTCCGATGACATGAAGGAGATGACCACCAATGCGGCCAAGGCTCTGCTCACGGATCACATACCCGAAGTGCTGTGCAATCTCGTTGGCGCCCAGGCCGCCAAGCGGGGTGTCCTCAAGGTCTTTGATGCTCTACAGAATCCCGCGTACAACAAGCAGCTGTTCTATGTGAGTTGAGACCTGACACTACGCGATTTCTTATAACCCGAACCCATTGCAAATGCTGAGTCCATCAAGCCAGGTCCGTCTGCATTTGGAAATATTTAAACGATTTTGGGGTATGGCTTCTTCAGCCCAACTATTAGAGCTAGATAAACCAAACTTGGTATTTGTACAATTTAAACTGCCTTATTTAAGATCGGACTATATACATCGTAGTTAGTTAAGAATGGATTTCTCATACCTTGTGTTTAGATAGGAGCTTAGGCGTTTGCGCCGGTGCAGGGTATCTCCTTCAGCTGGCTTGTGTTGCACTTTGATAACGATTGATTTGCTTGCCTTGCAGGAGCTGCTCGAGATCTTGATGATTGAGTTCTTTCCCGAAATCCGTCAACTGAGGGTCAACAACAGTGGTAGTGGCAAATTGAACACTGCCACCGCCGGTGTGGCAGCTGCCTCAGCTGCCGCTGCACTGGCCACCGTCGCTGCCCTGCCACTCAACTACAATAGTCACAATAGCAGCTCGAATCATGCCGGCCAGCATCAGAGCTCAGCAGCATCGTCAGCCGCCGGCAGCTCAACGCATCCCAAGGAGCATTACCATCAGCCGCCGCCGCAGCAGTCGCCGTATCACCAAAGCTCCGGACAGCAAACGCATCTGCATCATGCGCATCATCATCCGACGACGCATCCGGCACATGGCGCTGCGGGCGCCAAGTAGAGACGAGCCATCTGTTTTTAATTGTATTAACAAATTGTTTTTTTTTTTTATTTTTTCTTATCGTATAAGTTGCAAATGTTTATAATGCTCTCTAGCGCTCTCTCGCTCTAACTCTATGTCCGGCTCGCTCTAAAGCGTGGCTTCTCTTCTTCTTTTCTTTTGTGTAACTGGAGCACATTGAGAGTTTAGGATTAACAAATAACTGACCCTGTACAAAAGCTGTAAAACTTTCTAGCTGCTATTCGCAAGCGAAACCTACTGCTAAATGCACTTCGTTAAGCTGTTACATTTTCATGCGATTTGTTGTTTTGTTTTGTTTGTAGTTTAGCGAAATGCGTTTTGTTATATTTTTAGCATATAATGGATGATATTCCATATAGATATTCGTATTGTTTTTGCATAGTCTCAGTATTAAGCGTTACCAAATTGTTCCATTCGGAACACATTCCCCGCACATAAACCCAAACGATAACTAAATCCATAAACAGAGCAAAGATACACGCTAATTTTTTGGTGCCGATGTCGCATTGTTATTAACTGGAGTCGAATTATTGTGATCTTAGCAAGTAAACAGCACCAAAAAACACAACAACAACAACAAAAAGAACAATGCAAAAATATAATTTATAAAAAAAAAAAAAATAATGTAAATGTTAAATGTAATTCATTTTCGAAGTACACGTTTAAGCGCCTATGTAATTTAGATAAACCAAATAGTAGCATATGACATTGCATTCTATTGTATTGTATTGCATTGTATTGGATTGGATTGTATAACTATTTATATATATTGCAGTTGCAACGTTTTATGTGTAAACAATATTAACAACAGACCCAAGCGAAATAAAGATGCTATTTATGTAGATTTCTCTCTCTCTCTCTCTCGCTCTCTCTCTCTTTCGACTTATGTTCATTTCACAACTTTCACTCTGTCTTTCTACCTCACTCTCTATCTATTTTCCTTTTGCATCTCAACTAGAAGTCAGCAAAGTCTGCACAGCTTTCCCAGTTTAGTCTATATAGACATTTACCTAGTACAAATGACAGCTCTCTCCTGCTCTCATCTATACTTGAACATAGTTTTAGCTTTAGTAAATATCACGAACCTAAGTCATAAGTCTTGGTCTACCAATAATGCCAGGATCTAAACTCGTCGGCGCACTTTGTTTTCGGCTATTTTCCAGAATTTTAAGTTAAGTACTTAAAGATATTGACTTTTAGCTGCTCACTTTACAATTACAATATGAATTACAATTTAATTATCATAAGTGTTAACTTGATCTTGAGTTTGGTTAATATAGCAGCCAGATATATTCGATTGCAGACCTAAAACTAACTTAAGCTTTTTGCAGATATGTACTTTAGAGATATTGTTGAAATGTTTGTAAATGCTTTTTAACTTGATTTAAGTTATGATAGAATCATGTTGCCTTCGTTCAGCTTTTTACAGCAAATTAGTTGTGGTCAAATAAACAATTCAACAATTTATAAATTATTACAAAAAAAAAAAAAAAAAATAAAACAGATTGTTTGACGATAACTTTTACGAGTTATATAAACATTTGAAACATAACTTCAATAACTTCTTCAATTTCGTTAGAAATATATTGTAAAGCCAATGCCAAAGGTATTTGTAGTTACATTAAATGGCCTTTTGGATTTGGTTCTTACAACTTATTTGACGAGATTGATTTCCAGCAACACTTGAACTACATAACAATTATTGAATGTTGCTTGATTTGAAGGCCTAGTTGTTTTATGATAGTCTTATTCGTGGATATGTCTAATTGCCTTCAGATCTGTCCGCCTGTCTCAAGTTATTTGATGAGACACAAAACTCTTCGATTCTGTTTCTTAAGGCACATATTTTCTACTAATTTACAGCTGTTTATATGATAGCCTTATGGATCTAACATTGTTTTGCATATTATTTAACATAAGTTTTCTTTAGTTATAAGATAGTTAAATAAGGACTTCATTTAAATATGTTCAAAGACGATAACTACTTTAACTAAATAATTTCTTGAAATTGCTTCAAGTCCAAGTTACCTTTGATAAATAGCCTTTGCTGCGCTGCGCTTTAAAACACGCTTATCTTTTCAATGAGCTTCGCCAGCGAAATGAGCTCCATGTCCACCACGCTAACAGCCAGATTCTTGCGCATTGCCGCTGGCTTTCTCACCAGCAATTTGACCTCAAAGTATTTCAAGAGGAAGCGCCACTTGAGCTCCGTCTTCTTGGGCTCGGGCAGCTGCGGAAAGGCGTCCGCTTTGAGGCCCAGCAAATGCTCCGCGACGCCGCCGCTGAGACGCGTCTCGAGCAGCGTGCCCGTCTGGTCGGACAGGTGTATGTTGATGTTGAAGAAGTGCTCGAAATGTGCGCCGCTGTGTCCCAACGAGAACTCCAGCAGGCAGCTCTCATTGTCGCAGTCGCTGCGGCTGTTCGGGATGAGCCTGTTGCACGCCTTGCTGCTGGCAGACGAAGAAGAGGAAGAATAATGATTATATCGGAATCTTTGGGTCACATAACGCAAGCCGCTACTTGCCATTTCTTGCTGATGCTAGCGGCCAGGCCGTCCAGATCGAACTTGGTGACCAGGGCATAGAGCACGGCCGTAAAGTGCTCGCTGGTCGCATCCTGCAGCTCGCCCTCGGCGCGCGCGTAGATCTGCCGCACGCTCATCTGCGTTTGGATGTGCTCGGCTGACGGAGATGGGAGAGATTATTAGAATTTGCTGGACCAACTGGCAGCCAATACTCACCCGCTGGCAGCTGCTCCAAGTCCGTTTGCGCGAATATATCATATGTCTGGAGCGGCGTGCTGGCGGCGAACGTGAGCAGCGCCTGGCACTCGACGCTCTGCGGCAGCGGCTGCTCATAGATGAGTGTGCAGCTGGCGAGGCTAAGCACTGGACAGCCATAGAACTGGGAATGCGAGAGCCGCACATCGATCAGGTGCAGCAGCGTCTTGCGCGGCTGCCAGTACTGCGCGCGACGTATCCAGTCCGGGTGCCAGATCGTGAATACCATGCCGTCGGCACAGCTGATATCGATCACCACCAGCTCGAGGCAGTGCAGCAGCCGTGTCGCATTGCCAACTCCTGTCGCCAGCTTGCGCTTCAGCTCACGCACCGGACGCACCGCGGCCACGGCGACAAGCAGATCCACGTAGACAGCCGGCCGCTGTTCGGCGCCTGGCGCGGCACAGCGCACATCCGCCAGCTTGAGAGCGCTGCTCAGCGGCTTGTGCGGCACATGGATGAGTTGACGCAGCGGCTGCACAATGGACGCATCATTGCCGTTGTGCTTCACCAGATAGCCGTGTCCCTCGTTGACGACCAGCGCACAGGACAGCGTGCCGCGTGGCTGATAGCGCTGCTGCTGCTGCTGCTCACAGAGTCCGGGCATGTTTGGCGGCGTTATGGCCATCACCTTGGCGCCCACAATGTCCACAATGTCGCCTATTTGCAGCATGGCCGTGTACTCCTCCACGCTGGCCTTGCTGCCCCAGCACTTGCAGTTGGCTATGTGCAGCCGGGTGTCGCGCAACGTGAAGCAAATCACGCCGCGCTGCTCGCTGCTCAGCTTATCCAGAAACACATTCGGCTCCGACTTGGCAATAATCAGCGCCACGCAGGCAAAGCTCGTCATGTGGGGCCGCATCTCGGCGAGGCGCAGGGTAGGCCTGCATCGATAGCCAGACTCAGACATGGCCAATCAGTAAAAATTGGCCAAATAAATGGCGCATTTATCCTGTCAAACCGTTAAGTTTTTAATTATTAACATTTTAAACATGTGCACACATTGGCCAGCTATTGAGCGTGTTATCGATAGCTAATTGCAATTAATCGGAATTAGAGAGTAATAATTAACCCGATAGGTGGCGCTATCTACCAAGCCGTTAAGTTTTCATTTAATCACAGCTAAGACATGTGCACACACTGGCCAGCAAATGATAAATGATAACTGCCATTAATTGCAGTTATCATTTATCATTTGCTGGCCAGATATAAAACTATTTAAATAAATTTGGATACCCTGCAAACTGGAATACACATACACACACACGTACACGTACACGTACACGTACACGTACACGTACACGTACACGTACACACACGCACACACACACACGCACACACACACACACACACACACACACACACGCACACACACACACGCACACACACACACGCACACACACACACGCACACACACACACACACACACACACACACACACACACACACACACACACACACACACACACACACACACACACACACACACACACACACACACACACACACACACACACACACACACACACACACACACACACACACACACACACACACACACACACACACACACACACACACACACACACACACACACACACACGCATACATATATACATACACACACACATACATATGTATATACATACATATGTATATACATACATATGTATATACATACATATGTATATACATACATATGTATATACATACATATGCATATACATACATATGTACATACAACAACAACAAATCAACAACAAATCAACAACAAAATACTAACTAAAATACCAAAATAAATACCAAAACAAATACCAAAAAAAAATACTACACTACTAGCTAAGCATGAAAAACTGCCGAGCCTACTTGAACTTTTGAGAATCGAGGAGGAGAGCACTTGGCAAAAAATCGTTTTATTTAAATTTGCAGCACAGCGAAAACAAAGCTTCGTCTGCGTTTGATCTTAAATATGTGCATATATACAAACGTGCATACATACAAGCATGCGTACACTCATACACACGCACACATACATACATACATACACATATAAACACATACATAATACATATATATATAATACTCATATTCCTTATTATAAAATATTTGCATATTATATGGCAAAACTTTAGCTATGTATTATATAGGGATTATATGGGGATTATATAGGGATGTATTGTATTGTATTGTATATGTATTATGTATATATATATAAATAAAACATTTGATTTAAATATTATTTTCGTTCGTTTTTATATGCTTCTTGTTATTTTTTTTTTTTTTTTTTACAATTTTTACATATCTACAACATAAAACGTGGGCGTGGCGAGCCTCAATTCGGGAATAGTTTATCATATTTTGTTGTTGTTTTTCTTTTTCTGTTTTTCTTTTCTGCCTTTCTTTGTTTACATTCAGCCAAGGTACACAATATAGAACTCTAATGCTAGTTGTTTAAATCGATAATTATTTCGCGGCAGTCAACTGGGCGCAACGCTGGCGACGCTTGGCGAGCTGCTAGTTGCTCGCCGGAGGATGCGACGGCTGCGGCTGGGTGGGCAGCGGCTGGGACGGGCTGGGCATCGCCTCGTCCTCGCTCTTGTTGTTGCCCAATATCCAGTCCATAAGCAGCATGGAAGGGGAGCGCAGCGCAGGTTGAGCTGGCGAGGATAATAAAACAATGAATATACATATTTAGATGAGCCCAAAGCATGCCACCTACTTGCATCCACATCGAGCTGTGCAGCAGGAGTAGGAGTGGACAGAGCTGGAGCCGTGCCAGCTGCTGCCGTTGTTGGCGTCGCCTTCGCCATGTCCCGCTGCAGCTGAACCATCTGCTGCAGACGCTGCTCGCGCTCGTCCACAATTGCCTTGTCCTTGGAATGCTTCACCGTTTGCAGCTCGGCCAATCTGTAGGAAGCAATAGATGGCTATTAGTTAACCTGGGCTTATAGAGAGTATATAGTCATAGAATAGATGACTTAATTAGAGGCAGAGAAGCCTCCGAGCAAAGGTTGATCATAATAGAGAAGACGTAAGGATTCATGCAAGGCATCGATTAAGGATGGAGCAGCAGCACCAGCATGTAAGGAAGATGAATCATCAGAAGTCTGCCGGAGTAGGAGGAAGGACAAGGACTAGAATCGCTGCTGTACAGATTCAATTGTGTCCTGATGTATGGAATATTGTGGTGGCCAGATGCATGAGGCATATTTAGTATAGATATATAAAGGAGTCGCAAGTCGGATTGGTCGGCCTTCTGATCAAGAGAGAGAGATCTACTTAGTTCATCAGCTTGGTAAGCTATGCCGGATGTAGGAAACCAATTGGGAAGGGTCATTATCACAGCATCAGCTCGGAAGTGAGACAGCATCGAGGAAGGGTAATTGATGTGGACAGTAAAGAGTAGCGGGCCAAGAGGCACCGGAATACGTTTGGGGAGAGCCTCTTGGAGAGATCAAGTTCAAGAGATTGACTTCGTAGTCCTCTAGGCGGGACTTACTTCTGCTTCAGATCGCTGCCGCTGGCAACTGAGGACACGGCGAGATCGGCGCCGCTGCTGCTGCTGCTGACGCTCAGCTGGTTGGGGCTGACCAGGGCCGTTGTTGTCGTCGTTGTCGTCGTCGCTGTGGGCGAGTTGGAGAAGGGTGCGCCAGCTGGAAATTGAAAGGGATTAATTGATGTCGAGCTGTGTTTGGGTGCAGGACTTACTGCGCTCGGCCTCCAGTTGACGCAGCGTGTCCGAGAGCTTGAGCTGCAGATGATCGCGCTCCTCGAGCAGCTGCACCAGCTCAACGATCATCTCCTCGACGCGCATATCGCGCTGATGCAGCATCATGAGCGCATAGTCCAGATCCGATTTGGGCACATACTCTCCCGGTGGTCCGAGCGCATCCGAGCCGCTGGCCGTCGGTCCGCTCGAATTGCCGCCGAGCGTATTCTGCAGCCGAAAGGGATCGTACTGTGAGGCGAGACGTGCATATTCAGCGGAACGTATCGCCAGCTGCTCCTTCAATGTCACGATCTCCATTTCCTGCGTCTCGAGCGCCCGCTGCATCTTCAGCACCAGCTCGCTGACTTCCGTCGTGCTGGCGTCCACTGGTGGTGCTGGTGCTGGTGCCTTTTGCTCCGTTGTTTCTGGCGGGAATGCTGTTGCCGCCTTCAGCTGTTCGATCTTCGCCTCGTAGTCGGCCTCGCGTTGCGCCAGATGCTTCTGCCAAATGCTGGCCACTTCGCTGCACTTTTGCTCCACCAGCGCCTCCCACTGCTTGTTCAGTGCGCCGATATCAGGCTGGGGCTGCAGCTGTTGCACCTCCTTTTGCTGGAGCTGCTCCAGGGTTTTGCGGAGCTCGGTTATCTCAATCGTTTTGGTGTCCAGCTCGAGCACGGCCTGCTTCATTTTGTCCTCCAGCTCCAGGCTGTTGAGCACATGATTGTTGAGCACGCGCAGCTCCTCCTCCATGTCGGACTTCTCCTGCTGCTGCTGCTCGCATTGCCGACGCAGCTGTTCCAGCTCCTCCACGGGCACAGCTGCCTGATTGGCCTGCTGCTGCTGCTGCTGCTGCTCCAGCTTGTCCTCCTCCAGCTGCTTGACCTGCATGCGCAGCAGCTGCAGCTCCTGGTTCTTGGTTAGGATCTCTAGCACCAGCTTTTCGGTCTGATCCTCGCGCATCAGCTCCTCGATGCGCCGCTTGAGATGCACAATTTCTGATTCCTTTTCCTGCAGCAGAGCCCGGCTCTCATCACTGGGTGCAGTCGCTGGCGGCGCCGTCACCATCGCCGGCAGCTCCAGCTGTTTGGCTCTGAGCTCGGCCAGCTGCAGCTGCAGCTGCTGGCACTCCTGCTCCGCCTGCTGCTTCTCGAGCTCCGCCTGTTGTCTCTCCTGCTCCGCTTGCTGCTTCTCGAGCTCCACTTGGTGCTTCTCTTGCTCCGCCTGTTGCTTCACCTGCTCTACCTTCTGCTCTACTTGCTGCTCCGCCTGCTGCTTCACTTGCTCCGCCAGCTGCTTCTCAAGCTCCGCCTGCTGCTTCACCTGCTCCGCCTGCTGATCATGTGCCTCCAGCTGCGCCTGCAGCTGCTCCCGTTCGCGCTGCGCCCGCTGCTTCTCCTGCTGCAGCTGTGCCAACAGCTCCTGGCACTCGCTGTTCAGCTCCTGATTCTCGGCCTGCAGATTCTCAATGGTCGCACGCGCTGCTGCCGCCGCTGCCGCATCCTCGCCGCTGGCCGGCGCAGTGGGCGTGGCTGCCACCTCATCCCAGCTCTCGAGCTGCTGCAGCTTCTGCTGGAGCTCACGTATGCGCGTCTGATACATTTGCACCTCGCGGTCCTGGCGCTCCTTTAGCTCGGCCATGCGTTCGTTGCCGGCGGTGAGCACATCGATGCGCTTCGTTAGCTTCTCCTTTTCGAGCGTTTGCTGCTGGAGCAGCTCCTCGGTCTTGGCCTGACGCGTCTCCTGTAGCTGCAGCTGCAGCTTTAGCTCGTCGATGATGGCGCCGTCCAGATCGTTGTTGTTGTCCTTGCGCGCCTGCTCCTGCTGCTCCTTGCTGCGATACTCCTTAACGCACTTCATCAGCTTCGCGGTCTTCGTCTGCAGCTTCGCCTTCTGCGCCTCCAGCTGCTCGATGCGCGCGTGCAGCGCTGCGGTGGCATCTGTCAGCTGCTGCTCGGCTCCCGCATTGGCCCACGGATCCTCGTCCACGTCCACAGCCCAGTCGCTGGCCGGCTGCTGGTCCGGCTCCTCCTGCTCTGGCTGACAGAGATACGCCTTCTTTGGCGTTATCAGCGGCTCGACGACGGGCTCGCTCTGCGGCAGACCCAGCTCCTGCTGGAAGCTGGCAACGGCTGCATCCGGCACCGTCTCGCCGCCAAAGAACATGTCCAGAGTGGGCGCCACAGCCGCGTCAGCCGTTGGCTGTATTAGCTGCTCGATGGCCGCCAGGCGTTCGCGCTCCTCCGCCGCGGTGTGCAGCTGGGCCAGCTCCTGTTCGCGTTCGGCCAGCGCGCGTTCCAGTTGGACGCGTCGCTCCTCGTGCTCGGCCAGCGCCTGGTTGTGCGCCAACAGCTGCGACTCCAGCTCCTTGGCATGCTTCTCCAGGTCGCACACTTTGCGCTGCAGTTGCTCGATGCTCGCTTCGCTCGACTCATGCTGTGCCACGCCCACATTCTGTGTGCTCATCCTCACCGGTTGGGCAACAATCTCGTCGAAGGGCGAGGGCGCCGCCGCTGCATCGCCGCCAAAGAACATGGCAGGCGCGGGCAATGGCACATTCTGTCAAAATAAATCCAATTAGTTCCGGCTGAAGGGTAGTCGGTGGAAGGGGGAAGAGGGGGGGGGGGAGTGGATTGGCAGGGATTCGTTTCTGGATTTTCGCCAGGGACAGCGTAAGACGCAAACCATTTGAGCCCGAAAACTAACAAAGCTAGACTGGAACTTTATAGAGATATTCTTGCAGAAACAATTTGTGATTTTTTTCGATTTGAAGACTTTTTTCTTCAAGCATAACTCGAGAACTATACGAGCTAGTTGCACGAAATCTGGGATGTGGCTTCAGCTTTTGGATACCCGCCCATATTGCCCCACTTCTGATAAATCAGACTTGAAGCGGCCAAGTTAAACGAGGCTAGTCCCATCAAAGGCGTCTGTTTGAGGGCAGAAGGGAGCACTCTTTCTTTTTTTTAGCTACATACCTGCTCCGTGTGCGCCATTGGGCCAGGTCCAGGAGCAGGAACTGGAACAGAATCCGGTTGTGACCAGGCCAGCCAATCGTCAGCTACAGCTGCAGCCGGAACTGGAGCTGGAGATGCCTGGTGGCGTGTGAGCTGCTCGGTTTGCTCGTTGAGCTCGGCCAGCTTCTCGACTAGGCGATTGGTCTCCGTCTCGATGTGCACCTGGTCGTCGGTCTGATTGTGCGTGCCCAGCTCGGCGATCTGTTGCTGGAGCGCCCGCAGCTCCTGGTTGGACTGCATGCGCAGCTGTTGCACCTGCTGCTCGAGCAGCCGCTCACGCTCCAGTTCGCTGAGTTCCATGTTGAGCTGGGCCAGCTGCTCGTCGCGCTGCTGCAGCTGCTCCTGGGCACGCTCCAGTTGCTGGGTGAGCTCACGCGTCTGCGCATTGGCGCGCTCCATGTGGTCGCTCAGATCGCACTCGAGCTCGTCCAGTTCGCTGGCCTTGGCCGCCAGCTTGGCATCGTAGACCTGGCGCTGGCGCTGCAGCTCCTGGTTGCGTGTCTCCAGCTGCGTGCGTAGCTCCTGCAGCTCCTGTTCCCCGCTGCTGGCCAGCTGCTTGCGCTCCGTCTCGAGCTGTTGCAACTGCTGCGTCTGTTGCTTGTGCCGCGCCAGCAGCGCATCGTGCGCAGCCTGGAGCGCCTGCATTTGCTCGCGCCCCTCCTGCGCCTCGCTACCGAGCAACTGCAGCTGCTGGCTTTGGCTTTGCTCGTGCATCGTCAGCTGCTGCAGGCGTGCGTTCAGATCGGCCTCGTGTTCCGCCCGCTCTGCCTCCACCTGCTGCAGCTGCTGCTCGAGCTGCTGCAGCTGCTCCTTGGCGCTGAGCTCGTGCGCCTGCAGCACTGCAGCCTGATCCTCCAGTGCCGCGCACTTGCTCTGTAGTTCCGCACTCTGCGCCTCCAGCGTCTCAATGTAGGATTGATCCTGCTGCAGCTTGAGCTCAATGCCCGCGTGCAGCGTCTCTAGCCGGCCGTAGGCCAGCTCAAAGTTGAGCTTGTCCTCATTGAGCTGAGCGTTCTGCGCCTGCAGCTGCTGCACCTGCTGTTGGAGCAGGAGCATAGAATCCTCCTGCGCCTGCTGCTGTGCCTGCTGCTCCAGCTTCGCCTCCGTCTCCGCCTCTGTCTCCGTCTCCGCCTCCGCCTCCTCGGGCTGGGCCTGCAGCTGGGCGCGCAGTTCGGCCAGTTCCCGTTGCAGGCTCTGGATGGTGGCGTTGCGCTGCTTGATAACCTCCTTGGACTTGTCGAACTTAACCGATTTCTGCTCCAGCTGGCGGCGCAGCTCCTCGTTGCTAGTCCGCTCGGCGAGCGAGAGCTCCAGCTGGTAGCTCTCCTGGCGCAGCGCCGTGTTAGCGTGCACCGTATTCTGCAGCTCGACCTGGAGCCGCTCCACCTCCTCCTTGAGCTTGGCCAGCTTGGGCTGTTGCTTGAGCAGCTGCTGCTGCAGCTCCTTGCTGTCCAGCTGGGCCTGTTGCATCTGTTGCTGCGCCTGCTCGGCCAGTTGCTGCGCCTGCTCCAGCTCAGCCTGCTGACGCTGCACTTGCTCGCGCAGCTCCGTTGTGGTTGCCTGCTCCCTGTGCAGCTGCTCCTGCAGCTCCGTGTGCTCCACCTGCCGCTTCTTCAGATTTAATGCGTATTTCTTTAGTTTCTCGCGCAGCTCCTTGTTGCGCTGCTCGCTCTGCTCCAGCTCCTGCTGGCACTGCTGCAGCTCCAGCAGCTTCAGGTTCGTCTGGTATTCGCTCTCGCTGTAGCTCTCGATCAGCTGCTGCTTCTGCTCGGCAACCAGGGCCTGCAATATGCTCTGCTCGCCCTCCAGCGTCTCGATGCGCGACTGTAGCTCGCGGCGCAGCCGCTGCTGCTGCTCCATGTGCTTCTCGTATGCCATTTCGCTTTTGTTTAGCGACTGATCGAACTGCTCCGCCTGCAGCTGCAGCTGCACCAGCTCTGCGCTCTGGCTGGCTATCAGTTGCAGGTGCTCCGTCTCGCCGGCGCGCAGCTCTGCGATGATCGCATGCAGCTGGGCTAGTTGCTGTTCCTGCTCTGCCATGAGGGATTCCCGTTCCAGCTCTCGCTCCCTTTCCTTTTCCTTCTCCTGCTCCCTCTCCCGCTCCCTCTCCTGTTCTCTCTCCTGTTCCTTTTCCTGTTCCTTCTCCTGCTCCCACACCCAGTCCTCCTCGAGCTTGTGGCCAATCGCCCGCTTGGACAGCTCCGTCGGCTCGCAGCTGTCGCGCAGCTCGGCCAGCTCCGCCTGCAGCGCCGCCAGCGTGGCCTTTAGCTCGGCATTCTGTGCGTTCAGCTGTTCGTATTCCGCTAGAGCTTTGCCATTGGGCGCGGTGACGGCGACAACGGTCTCGACGACGGTGACCGTCTCCACCGCGGTGCTGGCCTCCTTCACCTTGTGCAGCAGCTCCGAGAGCTGGCTGTGCACATTCTTGGCCTCCTTGGCCAGTTTCTTGGACACGTTCAGCTTGGCATTGCGATCGTTGGCTTTGCGATAGGCCTCCAGCTCGGAGCTGAGCTTCGACAGGGAACGTTCGCATTTGTCAAAGAGCGCGGCGCCATCTGCGCCGCAGTCGAGGGCGGCTACCACCTCCGAGGAGCGCTGCATGGAGCTCAGCTCCTGCGAGAGATTCGATTTCTCGCTGAGCTGCAGCGCGAGCTGTTGCTTATCCCGCTGCAGTTCCTCCAGCTGTGCCTGTAGCGAGCCATTCTCCGCCTGCAGCTGCTCCTGTGCCGCCTTCATTTGGGCACGATCCGACTGCAGCTGCTCCTGGGCCACCTGCAGCTGCTCCTGGGCCGCTTGCTGCTGCTCCTCCGACGCCTGCTGCTGCTCCTGCGACGCCTGAAGCTGGGCTTGGAGCTGGACATTCTGCGCCTGCAGCTGCTCCATTTTGGCAAGCACCTCGCGCCGCTCGCTGGTGAAGAGCTCAATCTTCTGGAGCAGCTCGTCGCTCTCGTTGCGCAGCTGGGCAAGACTCTCGTTGACCTCCAGTTCGGGCGCTGCCACCAGATCCGTTTGGGTCAGCTCGCTCACAAAGCTGGGCAGCCGGGCGGGCGCAGCGGCTGGCTGTTGTCCAGCTTCAGCTTCAGTTCCAGCTCCAGCTCCGGCTACATCTGCAACGGCAGCCGAATCAGCCGGACGCTGGCTGAAGCGTCTGTCTGTGGGTCGTTCAACAATCTCAATGGACTCCGCGGAACTGGAGGAGCTAAGCTTCTCCAGCTTGTCCAGCAGCTCCATGTTCTCGTTGATGTAATGGCTGAGCTTCTTGTCCAGCGCCTCCTTCTCGGACTGCAGCGTCTGCAGCTGTTGGCGCTGCTCGTTCGCCTCCGCCTCCAGCTGTTGCACGCGCTGCGACAGCTGCTCCTCTAGCTGCACCTCGCTCAGCTCGGACTCGACGCGTGCCGCGGCGCTGCCCATTTGCAGCGCTGCCAGCGCCTGCTGCAGCTCCTCCTTCTGCTCCTCCAGCAGGCGTATAGTCTCGCTTTGGCCAGCTGTGGGCGTGGCTTTGCTCGCCAGCTGCTCCGGCTCCAGCTGTTCCTCTTCAACATGGGCCAGCTGCCACTGGCCCTTCTCATCCTCGAGCACCGTGATGCGCTGCTGCAGCTGCTCATTCTCAGCTGTCAAGCGCAGCAGCTGCTGCTGCGCATCCTGGCTCTGGAGCTGCTGCAGCTGCTTTTCGGCCTGCTTGCACTTGAGCTTCAGCTTGATGTTGCTCTTGTTGCACTCGTCCAGCTTCTGCTTGAGCTGCTGCTGCTGCAGGTGCTCGCTGGCCGGCTCCTCGTCCAGGAACAGGGGCTTGCTCCTGACGCTCTGCGCGAGCCGCTCCTCGAGCACGCGCAGATTCACATTGAGCACATTCAGCTCGGTGGTCTTCTCCGCCAGCTGCTCGTTTTGCGCCTCGATGGTCGCCTCCAGCTCGGCCAGGCGCTGTGTTTCGCTGCTGCCTGCCTGACTGGACTCCTGCTCCTGCTCCTCGTGACTGCTGCTGCGCAGCTCCAGCAATTGTTGCTGCAGCTCCTGCAGCTGCTTGGCCAGCTCCACGTTGACCTGCGCATCGGTTGAGTCCTGACTTGAGACCTGACTCTGCTCCTGCTGCTGCTGCTGATGTTGCTGCTGCTCGAGCAGTTGCTCGCGTGCGCTGTGCAGCTCGAGACGCAGCGTCTCCAGCATATCGCTGCTGTGCTCCAGCTCGGCGTTGCGGGCGCGCAGCTGCTCGATCTCGGCGTGTAGGCGCGCGTTCTCCTGCTCGGCCAGAGGGCGTTCGCTCGCCTCCAGCTGTTGTATATGCTGTTCGCGCTGCGAAAGTTCGTGGCGCAGTTCGTGCAGCTCCTGCTGCAACTCCTGCTCCTTGCGGCCCTGCTTCATCTCGATCAGCTTCATCTTGTTTTTGAGCAGCTTCAGGCGACCCTCCTCGCTGGCCGGCTGCGCTGGCGTCTGTGCCGCCTGCTGTTGCTGCAGATCGGCCGCGGAACGATGCCGCGACACGGGCGCTGCTGCTGCGGCGCGCAGATCACTCATCGAGGAGCCCAACTCGCTGCTGGTGCTCTGGCGGAGGCCAGTCTTGACGGACTGCAGCGACTTGGCCATGTCACGTTTGCGCTGCTCGAGCAGCGCACGATTCTGTTCGGTGCGCTGATTAAGCATTTGCAGCTTCTCGCTGCCGCTGTACTCCAGTTGGTCGCCAGATTTGGTGGGCGTGGCCAGCGGCGTGGAGGCATCCTGTGCCGCCAGGCCGGACAGCAGCTGCTGCTGCTGCTGGCCGGGCGAGCCCTTCAGCATGGTCAGCTTCTGGCCCAGCGACTTGACGGATTCCATTGAATCGCTTAGGCTGGACTTGCGTGCAGCCGTGCCATCCTCGGACTTGCGCAGCGCCCGCTCACGCAACGCCGTGAGACGTTCCTGTGCAGAGCAGAGTCCGGCATGAATAAAATGGAAGCATAGTGTTACAGCTGTTGCTTACCTGCTGCTTGAACAGATTCTCGCGTAGGCTGTCCAGGCGTGCCTTGCCGGCGCCAGTTGTTGCCTGGCCAAGTGATAAATCCGTGGAGCTGCTGTCATCGGCATCCTCCTGCTCCGCCGTGCCCCTGTGCCCGGGCATCACAAACCAACAAAGCAACTAGCTAAATGCGCTCAAAAACAAAAACAACAACAACAACAAAAACCAGAGGGGAAAACAAACAAACAAACAAAAAAAAAATAAATGGGAAGCTGCACTGGCTATCTCCGGCGGGGATATATCCAATGTCGTCGCGTGTGTTTCGTGAGGTTCGTCCTGCTAGCTATCGACATTGACTGCAATGGTGAGAGGACATGCAGTCAATATATATAAAAAATGTATATGAAATATATTTAATTCAATTTCAGGCCGTTGGCAAATTTTTGGGGCCAGATTTCGTGGCACTGACGTGTGCACTTCTTCGTTGTGTGCGTGCGTGTGCGTACGTGTGTGTACATCTGTCTAGCTATGCTACACACACACACGCAAGCACACGCACGCACACACACACACACACACATTCGCTCGTACGTTATTTGAATAGGCAACTCGATTTCCTGCCACAATTAATAACAATTTGTGCACTGCATTTCATTGAAAATTCATTTACCAATTGTAATTAAGCAATGCTAACAAAAAAAAAACTTAAACACCAGGGCTTAAGAGTCGTTGTTACTGCCCTTGTTTTGCAATTACAGGGCTGTTCTCACCACTTCGATAACGATGCAGTGTTGCTTAATGCGATAGTATCGATTAAGTCGCACAATTAATCGTTTCATGTGCTCAATTATTTGCTTGTGTTGGTTTTTGGTTTACTTTGACTGATTTAAAGCAATTTAAGAGCATTTTGTATATATTATTGGGAATATCTGTGAGCGTATACACTATAAATAAAAGGAACTATTTTAAGAGAGTATTGCCGTTTCAATGTATATACTTATATGTGAAACTGTTGACAAGTGCTTGAAAAGTAGCGCGCCTTTGCGGCGGCATTTATCGATACTTTGCATTATTTGAAAATAGATCGTAATCGAACTGATAATCGGCATATATATCGCACTTTATTAATAACCGTTTATTTCGAGTACATGAGAATTCCCGTTAAAATATAAATATACACACGATGAATATATATAAAATGCACATAAAAAAAAGCTATTGCACATGTAGGAACAACAAAAACTGGACTAGACAGCTCCAGGTACGCACAATGTGAGAGAAAGAGATAGCTAGATGAGGTAAATTTAAGTAAACCGGCCGAATGGAAAGGCTGCTGTCCGGCATTTTAGGCATCCGGCTGCGACGTTTCAAGCAGACGCACAATTTCCGAATGACCGCCACGCTGAGCATAGTCCAACGGCGTCAGACCGAGCATGTCCTTAAACTCGCCATTCTCGCTGTGCGGCAGGAGATAGTTCACCAGGTCGACATAGCCATGCAGGGCGGCCACATGCAGTGCGGTGCGGCCGGAGGGATCGGCCAGGCACAGATCGGCGCCGGCCAGCTGAAACGATTGCAGCCGTCGGAGTGCGCCACGTGCAGCAGCGGCGCACAGCTGCTCGCCAACGGCACGCGAAGAGCCGGTCAAATGGGCGCCACAGCTAATGAGCAGCTGGATGATCTCGTGGTTGTCGCTGGCAACTGCCTCCTGGAGCGGTGTACGCTCGCACAGATCACGTATGTGCACAGAGACGCCGTTCTGCAGCAGATGCCGCACGATATCCGTATCGCCCAGCTGGCAGGCCAGATGCAGTGCGGTGCGCTGGTCATGATTGGTGCCCGACAGATCGGCGCCGTATGCCTTTAGGTTATTGAGCTTCTTGAGATCGCCCTCGAAGACGGCCGCATTGATCATGGCCGGAAACAAGGTGGCGCCCAGCTGGTCCAGCTCCTGCGGCGAGGACAGATGCAGTGAGCGTGCCACAGCATCGACCAGATCGTAATCCTTCATCGTGTGCGCCGCAACGGAGGTCAGTTCGCCGCGCAGATTCGCCTGCATCATCTGTGATAAATACAGGGATTAGCGGATTAGAGGATGCGGCACGTGAGTCGACTATCTCACCTGCTTCTTCACTTGAAGCGACCAGTCCGACTTGCCGATGACGTAGGCCAGCTTGGTGAGCGCCGCCTCCGGCGTCATATCGTAGCCGGGTATGACGCCGACATCGAAGAGCACCTTGCCGGTGTCATAGATCTCGGCGACGGAACCGTTCGGGCACTGGGTGCAGTTGATAATGATGACGCCGCGTTCGGCGGCGGCGCGCAGCTCGTCGATGAGATCCTTGCGATTGGAGGGCATGTTGCCGGAGCCAAACGATTGCAGTACCACGCCGCGCATCGGCGGCGCCAGAAAGGCACGAAACGTGGCCAGCGATATGCTGGGAAAGATGCGCAACAGCCCCACATTCTCGTCCAGCTGCGAATGCACACAGAAGCGCTCCACGCTGCACGGCCGAAAGATCAGACGATAGTCAACATTGACGCTGATACCGATCTGCGCCAGCGGCGGCACATTTGGTGAATCGAAGGCGTCCAGCGAATTGGAGCTAACCTTGACCGTGCGATTGCCACGGAGCAGCTTATTGCCAAAGAAGATGCACACCTCCGGTATCACATAGTTGCCGGCAATGATCAGGGCGGACGTGAAGTTGTCCTTGCCGTCGGTGCGCGTCTCAAAGATCGGCAGCTGGGAGCCCGTTATGATCACCGTTTTGCCCAGATTCTCCAGCATAAACGACAGCGCCGAGGCCGTATACGATAGCGTATCCGTGCCATGGAGCACCACGAAGCCGTCAAAGAACTCGTACGATTGCTGCGTACGGAGAGAGTGTAAGCTGTTTACAGGGTATATGCCAGTCGAGCTGTACACTCACATAGATATCCTTGGCTATGCGCGCCCAATCGTCCATAGTCATGTTGCTGGAGTCGAGCAGCGGCGAATATTCCGTCACCTGGTAGATGACGCGTCGCGATTCGCCCTGGACAAAGGGCAGCACCAGCGGCGCCAGCGATGCTCCGGCGCCAAAATGACGCTGGGCATAATCCTCATCATGTATATTGGGATATTTGCGTATGAGCCGGACCAGGGCGTTCGGTATGGGCGCCAACACTGCAAGAGAGAGCGGGATTAGAGCGGGATTAGGTAGATGGGGAGTGGGTGCACCCACCGTGTCGCTCGTTGCGCATCATGCCGATGGTGCCGCCCGTGTAGATGACTCGAACGCGCGCCTCCTTCGCCTCGGCGGCTAGCATCAGGCTGCCGGCGCTCACGTTTCGACGCATCGCTGGCGTCTGATAGCTGGGCGAGGCGGGCACCGATTGATCTGGCGTTGTTGCCGGCGGCAGCCTTATACTGATGCCCGATGTCGCCGCCGGGTGCGCTAGCGGTGGCTGGGAGCTGGGCATGCCGTCGGGCTGATCACCGTTAGTGGACATATTGCAAGTCTTGGGGTCAATTTGGGGTCAACAATTAACCGTTTCGTCCAAAGCCGTCAACTAATCACAGCACAGATCTGTGCAACGCAACGCGACGTCTGCGAAGTAATAAACATTAATAAATACATTACAAGCCCGGCAAGGTGCACTCGTGTGTTGTGTGTGTGTGTGTGTGTGCGCGCGTGTGTTGTGTGTGTGTGTGTGTGTGTGTGCAGGTGTTTATTTAAACAATTTGTTATCAATCTAACGGCTTAGTTCGAACGCACTTGCGATATTTTTAATTGCGTTGGCCATGCAAATTAAAAAAAGCAATATCTGATATAGATAAATGCACACAGTTATTTACATATTTTATATTTGTTTAAAAATACATATTTACTTGCGCACATGTGTGTGTAAGTTCCCCTCTGCGTGTGCGTGTGTGTGTGTGTGTGTGTACAACTATTTGCCAGCGTTGCCATTGCGTAATGCGTTAGACAGCCGTTTATATGCATGCAACAGTCTGGCAGCATTGTTGCCAGTGTGGCCAGCCTGGCGCATTCAAGTGGTGCGCAACTTGACTAAGCAGCTTGTGTGTAGACTGGAATGTTGATTGGAGCGTGGTGAAATTCCGTTTGAAATCTAACGGACGTTTCGAGCGGCCCTGCACAACACAATTCGCAATTTGCGCAACACGCTGTTTGTGCAAGCTAAAAAGCCAAAACTAACAAATTTGTGCATTTAAATGGTCGCCGGTTCGATTCACGGTTAACTACATTTTTGTTGTTGTTTATTTTACGGAATTTATTTATAAAATTAAAACTGTTTAATCAGAAACAAACAAAATAAATAAATAAATAAAATATTTAATTTAATTATGCCGTTTTTTTTATTTTTTTTAAAAAGATCAAGCATTTGAAGGAAATTCAAAAAATTAAAACAAATGTTTGCTTCAAAGCGAGAAAATGTGCAGTTAGCTTGCGCAAACATCAATTTGCGCAAGCGGCTTGTCTAGTCTAGTGCCAGAGCCACAAGTAGGCGTATTCATGGCCCGATAACAACAATATCTTAGATAAAATATAAAAACTTGAACACACAAAAAAATCAATCTCAGACGAATTCTTTTAGCTTGAATTAATTCTATCAAAGTGAAACATGAAAGTAAATAATTCGATATATTACATGAATTCGATATATGTTTATTGGACTATCGAAATTTAGCGAACACCCCGAACAACAGCTTAATGCTGGGAAACTGAGATAATAACCCAGCCAGCTGCTGCTGCTACTGGTATTTCTACTGCTACTGCAACTGTTACTGCTGCAGTAACGTTCGTCTAATGACACTTTCAATAAAGGCTATATAAACGGCAACTGCGAGCCAAGGCATCTTTAGGATGGCAAATGATACTCCTTTAATACCCTGCATCCGCTGAAAATGGCACCAATAAAGGGGGAGTGGCTGGTAGAGTACATGTGTATGTAACGGGCAAAGCGAGGCCTCGATATAGGTTATCAAGAGTCTAGTTTATAAGGACTTGAAACTTTCTTTATCGATATTGCCAACTATTTCCTGAATATCGATATATATCGATAGAGGAGCTGTTAAGCGCAAGAGACCTGAAAGGATGCCTTGTTATAGAGCATTAAATGTCGGCCTGATTCAATGGATAAAGACTTGAAACTTGCTTTATCGATATATATCGATAAAGGATAGATATTGGCAACCATTTCAGAAATATCGATAAATACCGATTGCGGAGCTGTTAAGCGCAAGAGACCTGAAATGTAATAAATGCTCACATTTAATAAACATACAACCAGAATAAATTACATTCTCTTAGACTATTCAAGCCAGCAAGAATATTTGAATATTTGCCATGGCAGCTCGGCGCTGGGTCCAGGGTGTCGCCTAGTCGGGCTACTTGGCTGCGGGACACATGTCGCTGGCTGGCTCAAGGTGAATTGATATGATTGAGGCATGGGGCGGGCCAAGACAGTTTCCAAGATGGATCTGTTGTGCTAGCCCACAAGATGGCCGTCGCTGCTTCAGGTGAAATACCAATTTGATTAATGTACATTTTAAATGTCACACTTATGATTGTCTTGAAGCTAGGCGATTTCTTAAAGCAGATAACTTCTTACACAAAAAATATTAACATTTAATAACTTGTACTTTAACTGCCATGTTCAATGCATATGTGCACACTTTTCGATAAGTCAGCTTTTTTCTTCGATTTCTATTTAAAAAAAAAAAACTGTATGTGCACACTTGTCAATCATTTAGATTG